AAGCTCAAAGGCTTGTGTGCTTACCGAGAATAATTCTTCTTGGTGAGAGGTCCAGGTTTCCAGAAGGAATTGTAACTAAGTGAGACCAGCTCTCTAGAAAATCTGGAGGCAATGTCGTTAGCCTGTTGCTTGATAAATCCAAGTAGGCGAGGTTCTTCACATACCGAACCGCCTCATTTGGCACATTGGTTATTCTGTTATTGCGCAAATTCAGAGTCCTCAGATGGGGCATGTCCAGTAGAGATGGCCAAGGGAAAGCGACCAGAGAATTCCCATCCAGGCGCAGCTCATGCAGCTGTTTTAGGTTGTAGAAGCTGCTGGGGTCAATGCTGGCCACAGAATTGTAACTCACCCAGAGGTACCGGAGCTCCACCAGGTAGTAGAAGGCCTCAGCGGAGATTTTCCGGATGACAGTCTTCTCTATGCGAAGCTTCACGGTGTCCACGGGGAAGTTGGTGGGGATCTCATTGATATCCATGTCATTACACAGCACCAACCTAATGTCACAACAAGAGCAATGCAAGGAAATCCACTTTCCAAGACCCATTTGAAAAAAATGATCCTTATTAAAAACATGTACCAATTTTTCAATCCCTACTTATTTTCAAAAAAACATCTATCCAGCCTGGCCAATCTGTTCATTAATACTGAATCATCCTCATTGTCTTCATCATCCTCATCACCACGACAAAAGCTACTATTAAGTTCAATTACATGAAATTGTCATTTTTTCTTTCTTTTTTTTTTTTTTTTTTTTTGCATTTTTTGGCCGGGGCTGGGTTTGAACCCGCTACCTCCGGTATATGGGGCCTGTGCCCTACTCCTTTGAGCTACAGGCACCGCCCTGAAATTGCCGTTTTTGTAATTATAAGATAGTCAAATATCAGCAGCTGCATATGGTTCAACCTAATATTGAACTCTTTACCTGGAAGGCCTGTGCAACAAAGTCAAATCCATTACTTTATTTAATCATTACAACAACCCACTGAGGCAGACATTGGATAAGAAAGCACCCGTGCTCCAGGCAGGCTGATCTTGGTATGTATCTGAGCTCTTCTAGCCTCCTGACTAGCTGGGACTACAGGCACCTCACCAGCCTCTCAACTTCATTTTTCCATATGACACTGTCGCGATGATTAATTAAAATGCATGTAAAATTTTACACCCTCCTGGCACATAAACAGCACTCAGTAGGCATTTGCTGCTATTAGCAACAAACTCAGTTTGCATCACAAGGAACTGAGGCCTATCAGAATTCAATCACTTCCCAAGGTCATCCAGCCCATGGGTCACGCGGCCACAGTGAAAAACCAACTGTTTTTCTGTCCAACTTCACAGTAAATCTCTTTAGGAAATAGCCCATTTTAAAAGAATCACCTGTTCAAATCATAAACTGATACTTTTTAAGATCATTGATTTAGAAAACAAGTGTTCACAGCAAATGTTTAAAGGTGAGTTTAGTTTTAACGTGACCCGCTCATTGCTTTCCACCTGAGGAATAAACCAGACTCTAAAAGTTTATTCCTTCACCACTCACTGACTGAAGCGACCTTGAGCAAGTCACATTTTGATCTTGTTTGTTGGCACATGCAAAACAAACATAGAAAAACAAAGCTGCCCCATTTGTAGGTTTAAGGTATGAGGAATATGAGAATTTAGATTCATTTTAGACTGAAAAAAGATTCATTTATTAAAACTTAGGAAAATTCCAAGGATTTTAGGAGCTCTGTGCCGGGAACAGGAGTGAAAGACCAGGTATATTTCTTTTTATATCACACTAATTATTACCAAAATATTTATAATTTTTTTTTTTTTTTTTTTTTTTTTTAGAGACAGATTCTTACTTTATCACCCTCAGTAGAGTGCTGTGACATTACAGCTCACAGCAACCTCCAGGTTCTGGGCTTAGGCGATTCTCTTGCCTCATCCTCTGAGTAGCTGGGACTACAGTTGCCCACCACAACATCTGGCTAATTTTTTGTTGCATTTTGGCCGGGGCTGGGTTTGAACCCTTCTCCCTTGGTATATGGGTCCGGCACCCTAGTCACTGAGCCACAGGCACCACCTACAATGTTTTTATTAATATAGAACAAAGACTACTTGAAATCTCCAGTTGTAAGGGTTGTCATATACTGACACACAAGCTCTGCTCATGGTGCTTGACCCTGGCTGCACATTAATTATGTAAATTAGCATCTGTGGGGAAGGACCCAAGCACAAACATTTTAAAACTCTTTTCAGGGAATCCTATTTTTTAATTTAAACATTTTATTTTGAAATAAGCATACATTAGATGCATTTAGAAAAATACTAGAGAGAGGCCATAAGCCACCCCTTTAGGGGACTAAGATGGAAAAATTGCTTGAGGTCAGGAGTTTAAGACCAGCCTGGCCAATATAGCAAGACCTTGTCTCTAAAAAAATAAATTAAAAATTAGCCAGATATGGTAGTGAGTGCTTGTAGCTCCAGCAACTGGGGAGGCTGAGGCAGGAAGGTAGCTTGAGCCCAGGAGTTTGAGGTTACCATGAGCTATGATTGTGCCACTATACTCCAGTCTAGGAGACAGAGAGAGAGAGACCCTGTCTGTGGGGGGAAAAAAAGCAAATCTATTTATCTCCTGTAATAACTCATCTGAATTGTTGAATATAAACAGTAAAAAGTTTTGCAAAACATCATCTAAATTATAATACACTATATGTTTAGCAGATAATAACAATAAAACAGTGATTTGGTGGATTTGAAAAGCCAGGCCATAATGTCAGAGGTGAGCAGGATAAATCTGCCACACGCCGGCAGCATCATCTTTCTATGACTCTGGGAGAAGGCCCCGGGGAATCACTGGAATTTTCTAGGGATACCTCCTACTCTTCATCTCTGTTTTGTACTGCAGATGTCAGTGATACTTTTCACCAGAGCAGTAGCAGTTTCTACTCATCAAGAAAGCATTCCAGTGTCCTATAGTAGGAAAAGGCCTGGACTGGAAGCCAAAAGACCTAGTGTCTTTATCAACTCAGGTACTGCCTCAAAACAACCATGTGTCCTAGGATAAGTCACTGGGTCTCTGCACAGTTTAGTTTCTTGGCTTATAAAGTAACAGAGGTTGGCCTAGATTATTTCTAGAGTTTTTTCCAGGCATAATATTTCATAATTTTTATGAAACCCATCAATAATGGGTCCACCACAGAGAAGGAAACATTTCTGAGATAGTTTTCTCAAAGACACCCTGGCACGATTATTAACTGCTACATCTCCCCACAGAAGCGGGTCTTTTATATATTATGTTCTTTCCATTGTCGTTAACCACCCGGGGGATATCTCAAAAAGATAACAGGAATTGGTTAACTTCATATAATAACAAGACAAACTAGTCACAAATACCTTTGGATTATTATTTCTTTGTTTAAAGTTGTGAGACATGAATTGGGCTATTCTTTTAACAAATTATTTTGTTTGAGAATTACCATTTATTTCAAGTCCCAAATACCTTGATTTTGTTTTTAAATGGAGTTCTGTTTTGCTTCTAACTTGTATCTAAAAGGACTTGTGCCCATGTTAAGCCTGTAACTATTCTCACTTCACAGGCAGATGTAAAAGCAAACTAGAGATTAAATAACTTCTGTGAAGTGAACAGATAGATTTTTCAACTTTCTTTACTTTATGAATTCTGTCAGCTTAAAGTGAAAATTTCTGATGATGATAGGTCTGGCACAGTGACTCACACCTGTAATCCCAGCACTCCGGGAGGCTGAGGCAGGTGGATTGCCTGAGCTCAAGAGTTTGACACCAGATTGAGCAAGAGCAAGAATTTGTCTCTAAAAATAAAAATTAGAAAAATAAAAAATAGCTGGTGTTGTGGCAGATGCCTATAATCCCAGCTACTTGGGAGGCTAAGGCGGGAGAATCACTTAAGCAAAAGAGTTTGAGGTTGCTGTGAGCTATGATGCTACAGTACTCTACTGAGGGTGACAGAGTAAGACCCTGTCTCAAAAAAGAAAAAAATTCTGATGATGAACCTAACTTCACCCTTGTGTGCTTCCTTCTTCTACCCAGCTTATTTGGGTAGAATAAGGATTTGAATAATCTTCAAACGAAATGGGGGACCCTAAAAGCTGCTGCCCAGCCCTGCCCTCTCACACTCCTATAATCAAGGACCGAGCTGGCCACACACATTTCAGGTGTGGCCTCTGGAAAGGGACATTTTGTGAATATGAGCTCTATGGATAGTTTTATAACACAGAAGTTGAGTGTTTCTGAGTCTCGAATAATTTCAGAGGCTTTTACAAGTGAAACTGCTCAAAACAAAAACAACGAAAGAGTGGGCAACCAGCATTAAGACAATTAAATTAAAGCTTACAGAAATTAAATCTTTTCCCCTCCGATTTCTGATAATCAAACATTTGCTTTCTAAATAAGGCTGTCTCATGCGGGCCCTTTCTTGTTAGAATAACTAAGACGCTTGGCAGCAGGGAGAGGCGCGTACCTGGACCCCAAGCCGTCGTTTCTGCCGTGATAGTCGCAGCTGCACTGGGAAGGACAGGAGCAGCTCCCTCCTCCCACCAAGCTCAGCACGATGCACAGACAAGCGAAGGGATGCATCACTCCTTTTAGAGGGTATTTGAAGCAAAGGTAAAAACCTTTGCGTTCAGATCCTAAAAATCCTAAGCATTCAGAAACTAGTGTGCCGGTATTGCAAACAGCCATTTAGCACCAGCAGATTACCCAGGATTAGCTGAGAGCCTTAGTTACTTAACCTTCAAGTGTATCTTGCAGGGGATCAATCCACCCAGCCTTTGCATATGACTTCAGCCGAGCCACGCATGCCAAGGAGGAATGAAAATCAAACTCATGTCAAGACAATTTCAATAGTTACCCACACCTGGATCTTCAAGGAAATGATGAATACTTAATGTTAAGGACAATTCAGTCTGGCAGATGCTAGAAAATTCTGTAGCTGATTTACATACCATCACATCACACATTTGTTGCTTTTTACCGGCAGGTGCAACATGCACTTTTACAAAATTTAGTTTTGAAAATAGAAGCACATGACATAAAATGGATTTAGAATAGAGTTCTTGATGTTGCCACATAGTGGTTATTTCCAGAAGCAAAGTAAACCAAGCCCAGTACATAGAATTTTTTAAGGAAAGACGCTTCAATCCACACTGATGTGGCAGGACTAAGATTCCACTGAGAATGTGTTCTGAGACTTTTCAGATCATCTTAGTGTGCATTTATGACAGTATTACACAGGTGTCTCTGCATTAAAAAATCTTGGTTCTAAAATATATTTTATTCCAAACTAGTTTCCCAAATTATGGGCATCAAAACCACATGTGGAAATCAGCTGTCATTCTTTTAGCAATATTAGGCTGTATCAGAAAAATGACAATTTAATTAAATTAAAACTATCTCCACACACCTAAAGTGAATAATCCACAGAAACAATCAGGATTTAATAACAAACATTGGTCATGTAATCTTTGTATTGGGTGGTTCTAGCTATCATCTATAAAACAAAAGGTTTTTAAAAATTCTACAAAAATAAGATTATGGGAAATATGATTCAAATCTAATAGAATTTATATAAACAATAGAATCTGAAAATTTTGCTCAGTTAAAACAAAACATTTCAGGGCGGTGCCTGTGGCTCAGCGGGTAGAGCACTGGCCCCATATACCAAGAGTGGTAGGTTCAAACCCAGATCCAGCCAAACTGCAACAAAAAAATAGCCGGGTCTTATGGCGGGCACCTGTATCCCAGCTACTTGGGAGGCTGAGGCAACAGAATCACCTAAGCTCAGGAGTTGGAGGTTGCTGTGAGCTGTGATGGCACAGCACTCTACCAAGGGCGATAAAGTGAGACTCTCTCTAAATAAAAAACAGACAAAAAAACAACATTTCAGCTTTTCAGGTTCTGCATAATTTATTTGTTCACCAAATGCTGACCGAGTTTTCACTCTGTGCCAAGCACTGAGAGGCACAAAGATGAGTAAGAAATGGTCACCACATGTCAGGAACTCACAGGATAAAGGGAGGGACAGAGCACTGAAGCAGCAGAGGAGAAGAACATCAAACACAGCCTGTGTCGCTGAGCAAGACTTCCTACATGGGTGATGCCTGAGCTGCCTCTCATAGGATGCAAGTTAATGGACTATGCGAAAATCAGGAAAAGGGCATCACAAGCGGAGCAAATAGCAGGAACCAAGGGAAGGAAGCAAGAAACAGTTTGTTATCCTCAGAGACCAAGCGCTTCTTGTTACTCAGGCATAAGATTTTGACAAGAAGTGAAGAGAAGATGGGCTGCAGTGGCTCACACCTGTAATCTTCCAGCACTCTGGGGTCACCTGAACTCAGGAGTTTGAGACCAGCCTGAGCAAGAGCAAGACCCATGTCTCTATTAAAAGAAAAACACAAAAAAGAA